TCGTTCGCTGATTCGAGCCAAGATGCGCGAATGCTCGTAGGATTTTTATTTTCGAAATCAACTAACTTCCATTTCTCCGTTCTATCATTGATTGTAAATTATATTACCTTTCAAGAAAGAACTTATCGATTTTCACGAGTTCTTTATTAAATTATAATAAAACCACGTATTACTTAATATTTTTCTATCAATTAAATTCTTACGAAATTTCTATCAGATAAAATAAAAAATAATACGTTTTAATACTGCGATATAAACTCAGCGTCGAGCAAACGTATATACGCACACCTTTCCGCGCCCTTTGTAATATCTCAAAGATGAATACCTTGTGGTAGTAAATATCACAGACGACTTATTTCAGTCTCCTTTATTAATCCTTCTTGCACGAATGCATTTTCCCGAGCCCTTTTTTTTTTTAAGTCTTTCCCATTGTTATCGCTGTACAAGCAGTACTCCCTTTTCAGTATCTACAACAATGCGTAAATACGTATGTGTGTGTGTGTATATATATATATATATATATATATACTTATATGTAAACTTCTCGAGTTTCTCCTTCGCCCTTTATCCCTTCTGCCATCATTGTTTCCACGCCGCCTGTACATGTATTCCAAAGTGCATTTCGCGCAGCATTAAGGTATTAATCGACTCGTGATAAAGGGGACCATGAGCAAGTGAGTTGGTATGTGAGTTGTAGTAAGAATTCCAGTCTGCCGCTGAAGTCGCATTGCAAGAGGTTATTGCTAGAAACGGCGTGTACCAATGCAGCAATGAGAGACAGACAGACAGAGAGAGAGAGAGAGAGAGAGAGAGAGAGAGAGAGAGAGAGAGTAGTAGTAGTAGCAGGAGAAGGAGAAGAGAACTCGAAGGTGCACTGGTCCGAAGGAGGATCGCGAAGAGGGTTGCTGCGTAACTACACATGAGGGCTTCCAATTAACCCCCGCATTCAGATAGTTCGAGCACAATAATATAGCCCTCGGATTCTCTTCGTAGTCCTGAAACAAGATCCGAAAGTGGAAAGGGGGAAATTCTTCTAGCTTCCGTTCTACCACCTTCTACCATCGTCTTAATGTAGCTTCTGCACTAATTAACTCGGTAAAGACGCACCAAGAATATTTCTCTTTCGGTTTCGTACTGATAAGAGGACCCTGGGCAATTCCATCGACGATTTTCGTTATCCTTACACTTTCTCAATCTTCTGCCTCCTTCTATTCTTTTTCTTCTTCTTATTCTTCTTCTTCGAATCTTTAGAAAGGCCACGTTATCGGACACGTAAATCGTAGACTTTGCGGAATAGATTTCGAATTCTCAGGCTGTGCTCCAAAGCTCCGTTCCTGAGATTTCTTTATCCGTTGTTGGAGGTGATATCTAAGAACGTGGTGGAACGAGTTCCTTTTTCTTTCTCAAAATCGATGCTCCTCGCGACTTCGGGATTCCTCATTTTCACACTACGCTGTCTCTTCTGAACTTCTTTTCTGATTTCTTCCGGAGGCACATTCACAAACTTGAACTTCGTAGAGCAGTAGACAGCTCCTTACAACGACGATCCCCTCGAGTAAAAATAGTCTTCGACCCTTGCCTTCTTCTTCCGATGCTTCTCTCTCTCTCTCTCTCTCTCTCTTTTTCTATCTATCTATCTATCTATCTTCCTCTCTTTCTACGTCTTGCAATAAATGGTTTCATTCTCGGCTCACCGTCTCGATATAAAATCTTTCCCTCTGGCTTTGGCCCTCGCGGTTGCCTTTACCTCCAGGGAAAAAGGGTGCCATGGAAAAAAGTGGTGATGGTGTGTTGATGATGGTGCTGTTGTTGGTGGAGAGGTAGTAAAGAAAAGTGGAACACCGACGAGCGAGAACAAGGATGAACGAAGGGAATCAGAAAAATGCAGGCATCTCCGGGGAAATTAACGTAATGAGGCAGTTCGATTCTTCTTTCTGCAACTCTCTCTCTCTCTCTCTCTCTCTCTCTCTCTCTCTCTCTCTTTCTCTCTTTCTCTCTCTCTGTCTTTTTCTCGAGCTTCAAGAAAACTATCGTCTTTCGTCTCAACCTATCAAGTACCACCGCAAAGTTATTGGTTTCTTCAAGACGCTTATACTTCCATAATTCGTGAAATCGCTAGGCAAGAGCCCGACTTGGTGTCTCGTTAAAAATGGGACGAATCTCTGTCCTTTTATTTTTCTTTTCTTTTCTTCTTCTTTTTTTTGTTTCTTTTCCTTCTTGTTTTTTTTTTTTTTCATTATCCTTCTCCATTTCTATTGGTAGATTTTTACGTTGATTATGCGGACTAAATGACTATCAATAATTCTTTATTTGCTCGTCAATAAGTTCTTTCAGAGTAATATTTTTTTCTCTTTTGTTTCTTTTTATTTCTTCCAATTTGTTTTGTTTCAAATTCATTTAATCGAATAGAAAAATGTGGGGGGGGGGGGGGAAAAAAACAATTTATTCGATTAAACGCTTTGAAAGTATAAAAAACTTTCGTTACTTCGAGGCATTCGTTAGATGAAAAAGAAAAGTTTATTATGGCGTTCACGATATACAAATATACGATATGAGAATAAAAAGTCTCGTATCGTTATTTGATATTCTTCTTGACTTTTTCCGGTATCGAGGAATACGATCGATTCACTTTAACTCTTAACTCCGCCCAACCTCTTCTCCGAGGATAGAAAAAATCCTACTGAAATCTTTTCGAACTCTTCGAATCGGAACGGAAGCGCGTTCTCCTTGAACTGTTTAACAAAAATATCTTTTTCAAAGAATATTTACCTCGGATTTGCCTTTTTTAAAATAGTCAAACAATACCGATCGTGAAATGATGAAGAGAGAGAAAAGAAATATCGAGATACATAATGGCGTCTCGATGTTATCGTAAAACCAACTCGATCATAAGAAACAAAATGTACGAAAGTAAACTAATAGAAAAAGAGAGAGAGAGAGAGAGAGAGAGTAAATATGACTACGATAGAAGCATAAAAAAACTATAATCTTTTTTATTCTTAATATATATCAATCTTCAGATTTCTCTTCTCCTTCGATTTTTTTGTTTTTTTTTTTTGTTTTTTTTTTGTTTCTTAAGGCTTCTTTTGGAGTTCAATTGTCCACAAATAGCAGGAGTAGGATATAATTAAAAGTTAACGTTGAAAAGGATAACTACGAAAACGAGGACCGATCTAAGGAGTTACGAGTTTTAATGCACTCTTTATAATCACGCCTCTTACCCCGTAATATCGTCTACCTTTTTATATTTCTCCTTCTCAATCCTCTCCTCCCTTTACCCTCCTCGCGGTCCTTTTCCTTCCTTCGTTTCCCTTCGAACGAACCGCCAAGCTTTCCCTTCGTCTTCTTGCGGCTGTTCTCTCATAAATTGGGAAAATAATTTACTGTTTTAAGAAGCGGACGCTTCCGAGCGAGATATTCGCTTCTTTGCGACCAATGCTGGAAAAGACGAAAGAGAGAGAACGAGAGAGAACGAGAGAGAGAGAGAGAGAGAAAGAGCTTTTTCTCTCTTCTTTCATTCTTTTCATTTACTTTTCTATTTCTTATACTTTTCTTTTTTTCTATCTTTCTTCTCTCGTATGGCACGGACAAACTAATGAAATGACGATATCTCGTTGTTCTCTTTTCAAACAAAAAAAAAAAAAAGAAAAAAAAAAGAAAAGAAAAATGTAATCTACTCGTTCACACTTTTAACGCCAGACCATTGCCCTTCTAAATAATAGTTTCCTTAAATCTTCCAACGAAGTTGTTGCATTTTTATCGTGCGCGTCTACTTTTATCACTTTTTCTAATGATTTTCTTATCTTTCCATAAAGTCCATAGGCTCAACATAATCAATGAGACGGTTTTTTCTTGGGAGAGGAGGCGGGAGGGAGCTTCTTCTTTTTTTTTTTTTGTTTTTGTGTTTTTTTTTTTTTTTTTTTTTTCTTTCATACACTAGTAGAATTCGAAGAAAAAAGATAGAAGATAGAAGTTTTACCAAAGGGGGCGAAGAGTAACGAAGGCAACTTAATAATACAATCTTAGCATCATTAGTCACGGTAATGGCGTGAACTTTTAATTAGTTGTGCAGTTTCATTCGGAAACACTTGCCCGAGCGGGCAAATCCATTGTGTTTTTATTCATGGCTCGTGAGATAGGCAACAGTCCTATTTCTAGCTCTTACTCCCAAAACCGTAGAGAAACTACCCTTCGCTTCGCCGTACCCTTGCGCTAACTAGAAAACCCCTCAGGGCTAAAACTTTAACTTTCTTCTCTTCAACCCCACTTTTACCCTCTTTCCTCTTTCCCTCTCTTTCTATCTCTCTCTCTGTCTCTCTCTCTCTCTCTCTTTTGGAGGAGGAGGAGGAGGAGGAGAAGAAGAAGAGTATTCCTAAGATACAGACGTTATGTATTTGTCCATTAACACCCACGAAGCCGACTAACTCGTCTTTCGCCGTTTTATACTTTGACGTTTCAATCGTCCCGTTACATGGTGGAAAATTCCCGCAAAGGTAATAGAGATCGAGTCCCTTACATACTTCCAATGATCAATCCTTTTTATGAGCTGTTTTTATGATCAAAAAATATATTCATATACTTTCTTACTTTTAACGAGGAAGAATCATTAACATATTCCTCGTAATACATTGAATAGTATTTACTCTTCAAAGAAATGTAGTCATTCAATGTTACCAACCTCGATAAGATAAATTGTGTCATTGTAAAGGTTCTCATTTGCGGTTAAAAGGCTTGGCACTTCGAGTAGAAGTCGCAGTAATCGGTCAGACCGAAGAATGCTGCCAGGGCTCCATAAGGATAATAGCCTGGTCCTTAAAAGGATTCGGTTTACTAATCCCTTCACGATCCGTCTATAAACCCAAACACTTCTTGTTTGAGACCATCGTGCCACTATCGAATAGAGCACGCCAGTATAAAACGGCTTTGGATGGCTTTAATTACTCAGCTCTCGAGCGCCGATGTAAATGACGGCCATTAAATCCCCGTAGGTCGATGTTTACCTCGAAACCGCCGAAGTGGAGGCAATACGTCGGAGAAACGATCACGACGGACCGTGCGCGTACGTATAACTGGTTGCCGTTGCAACGGCGTTATGGTGCCAGTAGCAGCAGTAGCAGCAGCAATAGCAATAGTATCATTGCCGATTATGAGTACCTAAAAAAAGAATGCTTTTTACCATCAAATATTCCAAATGAAGACCTTATATTCTTTCATACACGATGCGAGCAATCGTCATTGCGTAGGCTCGTAATTAAAACAAGTGGTTGGTTGTCAGTACTTATCATTCATCCTTTCTCATTAATTAAATTTGCTGGCAAAAAGGGAAAAAGAGTCATAACATCGGATTTTTTTACCCACGTTCTTCATTTTTATACACGATAGCTGCATGTTTTTCATGCAAACGCGATCGCAAAAAATTGATGTAAACTAAAATAACTTTTGAAAGAAACGAAATTTTCTAATTTCTGTTTGAAGTTCTGCTTCTGAATAATGATATATTCGAAATTTATGTTTGCGCATATTTCATATAGATTTTTTCTATAAGAGAACAATCGATCGAAACAAATCTAACGAAATTTTATACGAAGTTCATTTATCATAGCAGAAAAATTGAAAATTTTCAACTGAGAAAGAGAGAGAGAGAGAGAGAGAGAGAAAACCTGGAAACTTCTAAAATATATTATAAACATTTTAATGATAAAAATTAATCAAATCGATTTTAACAAAATTTTATTAAAAATTTTTGTAAAGAGTGAAGGCGTATTTGTAATATTAAATGAATTGTCTGATAACATTCAAAACAACAGAATTTTTAATAGAAACATTTTAATGTTGAAATATGGTATAGTATTGATCGTGCCTTTTTGCATAATGCAAAATAAGTTGACAGTATGTCAATAATACGAATTATACGAATTTGCTTCTTTGCTGGTTCTTCTACATTATTCAAACATCTATTATACTTTGGCGCTTATATTCGTATTTCTACAATTCATTTAAACTCATAGTTCCTGAATAATTCCCTTATTAAATATCTCATCACGAGAGACATTAATTCGAAAATTATATTTATTTAAAAGTGCTTCTAACTTTTTTTCCTATTATTAACGTTATCTTCTTTCAAATAATTCAAGTTCAAGGTAGAGAAGAATATAGCAAAAGCTTTAAGAAAAAGCCAGCGAACGAACGATAACCATCGATGAATTTCTCACGTGAGAGAGCACCGACGAGCCACGGAAAGTGAAAAAGATAGAGAGAAAAGAGAGAGAGAGAGAGAGAGAGAGAGAGAGAGAGAGGGAGAAGGGAATAAGAAAGAGGGAGAGAAACGAATAGATAGAAAGAGAGAGGGTGAGAGAAAGGAAAATGCGCTGGTGGTAGCTACCGAGTGAGACGCGTAATGAAAATTTCGCTCTGCCGCCCACGATTTGCATGTTTATAAGCAAACGTCGAGCCGTTCTTTTTTTTTTTTTTTTCCTTGTATTTTTCCAAAATACCCACGCCGGTCCGTGATCCAACGCGAATAGCCAATTTTGCACCCCTGAACGCTCGGCCGCGCTTTAATCAAGCGGAATTGGCGTTCGAGCCGCTTGTTTTTATTTCTTCCCTCTTTCTCTTTCAACTTCAGCTCATCGATATCCCTTTCTCTTTCTTTACATTTAGAAAAATAAATTCTGTTCAAGAGATCAAATTCAAATGTCTTAATTCGATCTATGATTTTTCTATATATTCTATTCATTGTTTCATAAATGAAATTGTTCAGCGCGAATAACTTTTTCGTTTGTTTTTTCTCATTTTTTTTTCTTTTTTTTTTCGTTATATATATATATATATATATATATATATATATATAAAATTTTTTGTCTACGTTTTATACCTATCTACGTGTATCATTCTTACGTCACTCCTAATAACTATTTCATGGGAGGATTATCGTTTAGTGGATGAAAATAGAAGAAAGAAGGAAGATAAATAGGGAAAGGAAAAGAGGACGCTCACGCGTTCGTCGACGTTCTCCGGAAAGCGAAAGGGATAATCCTCTGAATAATGCGCATGTTGTTATTGCAATATTAATCAACGTAGAAAGAATAAAGAAGCGGACGATTTTGCATATCCTAGATAGAACTTTATTTTTAAATTCGAAGGTAGCAACACCCACTGTGCTCTCATTTAACTCACTGTTTATGCCCGTCAGTAGTAAGTAGTGTACTTATCGTATTCAGAAACTGAAATCAAGGCATGTAAGACTTTCATGCATATGTCAATGTATGCGATATTCGTAAAAACTCAATGTACTATTAATTTATATCTTTTTCAATAATAATATTAAAGAAATTTTTAATTAGTCAACAGTACAATTATATTTGTACAACGCACATACATGGAACTTATGTCATTATTATAATATAAAATTGTGTTAGTTTTTATTATTATTTTATTATTTTAATAATGATTTTAAGTAAACGTATGGAACATATTAATTTTTGCACATAATATCCGATCAAAAATCTGTTGATTAAGATGATGTAGGATATATAGAAAGTGTGCGTAGAAAAATGTAAGAAAAAAAATAGAGAAATAGAATAGAATTCGATGAAAATAATAATTTAATTAATTTCGTAATATTTTTAATGTTTTTAATGAAATAATATTCGATCGAAAAGTCTTCGACCAATCTCTCTTTCTTAGTTTACAACTTTTTCATGAGACTTCTCACACTATGATAGATAAATTCTGTGTTATAAACGATTTTAATTTAACTCAGAAAATTTGTTACTTTTAATTAAAAACACCTCGCACACGTATACATTTATTAAACGTCATAATTCATGCAACACTTTTATGTATGATTATTTGTATGTAAGAATAAACCACCATTTTTATAACACAAATTAAAATATTATTATGAGAATGGATATAGAAGTAATACTAAAAATATAAAAACAATTTAATGTCGTTAGATTGCGCGTTCATAAAGAAGTAAAGAAGTTGTTATTTGATCAGCAGTCTGTCGGCAGTCGCATAAATGCCTTTCGCATTGTTTCATTCGTAATGCATTTTCTCGTTTAAGAAGAAAATTATTTAAAACATTTGTTTCTCCAAATCACGCGGGCCTGTACACTTGAAACAAAATGAAAAATTTCATTTCTTTTACAAATCGTCAAGCGTAAATTTTTCACGATGGTAATTGCATAGATGACATAACTAATTTCTAAACGTCACGATTAAATTAAGATCTAAAAATTTAACACTTTCTTTTAATCATTATAAGATGGTTCAAATATTGTTCGTTTAAACTTAGAAAATATTAATATTCATTTTACAAAATTTTCAAGAATTTCTCATATTTTATATTCTTATTGTACGTTTTTACGTATTAGAGAAATATACAATAGAAAAATAATCTTTTCAATGTCTTTGTAAAAACGACGCCATGTTTTTACGAAATATCGCAAAGCCAGAAGCAACGTATGTGTTCAATTCTCGAAAGTATGGCGGTGGTGTGTGATCGAATTGAAAAGTCGTAGAAAATGATGTGAGCTCTTTATCTAGTCGACCGACCGAATGAACTCCCGAATGGTGTTGGATTACGGTGTCACGTGATTCCTCTCTCCGTGGGGGAACGTACCAGCAAATATATTGTCTGTCGCACGCATCGCGTACGCATATATACGCTCCCGGAACCGAGGAGTGTAACGGCGAAGCGACAGATTGGCTGGGATAAATTAATTTCATTTACCGGTGATTTAGATGATCCACGAATGTTGAGAGGATGCAATTTGACATCCTACGCATTCCCTCGGACATCAGAGGCTATTATACATCGTTCTCATCCCCCAACACCTTTGTCTTTAACTCCAAATAATCATACTTGTGAGTTCTGTTATTAAAACTCTTAAATCGAATTACAAAGAGAAACTATGAGTTTATACAATTTTGGATATTTATGTAATTATCTATCCTATTTATATAATTATTATTATTATCTAATAACAATTTTATATCAATTCTATGCGTTTGAATTGACATTGAAATGTTTTAAATAATTTTTTCTACGTATTTGTATATTTCATAATAAGATACAACGATGAATATCTCTTATCAAAATCTCATTTCATAGTTTCATCCCTAGTTAAGAATTAGGAAGACCTTCGACCTTGACCGTAGAGAGCTCGGTCACGGGATTCATTCATCATCCGGCGGAGGAGGAAACGTTTTGGCTTCCCAGCAACTCACAACTTTCCGGCTACTCGACTCTGGTTTTAATACAATTACGGCGAAGCCTGATATCCCACGGGAACGTCGTGTTTACGACAATGGGGTAAAAGAGACAAGAATATAGCGCTACGTGAACGGAGAATTAAAGTGAGATGGAGGGAAAGAGAGTAAAGATGGAGAAGACGAAGAGAGAACGTGGTTTTACAACGTCATAGAAAAAGGAAACAAGACGTCAGAGGGAAGGAGAGAGACAGAAAGAGAGAGAGAGAGAGAGAGAGAGAGAGAAAAGGAAGAGTATAGAACACGCAGTTTCGGCTAGCACGAATTCGTTTAGTATAATCCGGGTAATATCAGCGATCGTTCGTGCGAAAATTTTCGTCTTACCAGAGATAACGAACGTGTCGATGGGATTCTAAATGGACGTATAAAGAGAAAACCGAGCGAATGGTTATTGAAGTCGACATCGTTAACTTAAGTATAGGATATCGATACCAATTCGTCGAGATAGGACTATTTCAAAAATAACATGAGTATCATAATCGTTTTACTCTCGATATATTTTTCCAACAGTGTTCTTTTAATTCACGTGTTTATTTTACGATTAAAGATGTAAATTATTTTAGTCATATAATTACTAGAATAATTAGGACTTTTTTTTTTTAATAAGATTACAACTTCTTGAAAATGTTTTTCTACGGATGTTTCAAAGTATTCAAAAGAAATAGAGAGAGAGAGAGAGAGAGAGAGAGAGAGGGAAGAGCGAAACTAGTGCGCAAGGATTCATCGTTGAGCTCTCCCTCGGGACGTTCCATCACTGAGATAGAGAATTTTTTATTCTCTACAACAAAAAAAAACAAAAAAAAAAAAAGAAAAAACAAAAAAGGAAAAAAGAAATAGAGAAAAAGTTAGAGATATACAAGCAAGAAGTGCGAGCGTTTCGTGGAACTCATGAAACTCATACGAAACAACGGGTATGCCGATCCATTTCTTTTTCTCATAGTTAGAATAATTTTAGTCCTCGCAAGGACGAAATTATGCGGTCTCGCATAAGATAAAGCGCAATTACGTCGGAAAAAAGTTCTTTCAACCTACGGCCAAGAGTTTTAAGAAGTGACATTCGTTTCTTGAAATTAACCTCGGCCAGCACGTGCTCGCGATACGAATGGAATGGCCAGACGTTCTCGTTGTCATCGTCCTCATCCTCTTCTCAACTTTTACTTCTTTTATCCCAGCATCCCTTCGATGGTGGAAAACAAGACACGCGGGTAGAACGCGTGCGAGATGAAATATGGTTGCAGACCGCTGTATCGTGAGCCTCCTAACACAAGATTCCCTGAAACTTTTAGAAAAGTTACGTCGTTTCACTGTTTCCAAGAGAAACGTGTACCTCGAGTTTTCTGCAATTTAAAAGGACCCTATTGTGTCTCACAAATTAAGCCGTTAAAACACCTAATACCTAAACGCGATAACGTTTTCATAAATTTAGGATATTATCATTCGAATCGTAACATACACGTAATGCGCAATTATAAGTATTTCAAATTAAATATAAAACGTTGGAGTTATACTTAACGTACAAACGAAGTGCAAATCAGGCGAAAATTACAATCAAAAGGCAATAGGACAGTTTAAGTTGCAAAACTCATTTTATTTCAATTTAGGGAGTTTAAACGATACCATCCAGTATTTCTACTTTAGCAGTGAGTGTTTCCTACCCCCTCATCCCGTCTCCCATTCCCTCTCTCTCTCTCTCTCTCTCTCTTTTTCAACTTCTCCACCTCTCGCTCTACGGACAGGTAGGCCAGAACGGTGTAACGTGAAATTGGTACTTTGAAATTTCATTAGTGAAGTCAGGCGGCGTCACAGATTCAATTAGGTTTTTATTGGATTTCGAACTGTGCGAACTGTCAAAGCGGTAACCACGTCGCCTACTGCAGGCACGTAGAGCTACGGACGTACAACCACGTTTGTCTCGTTACACACGAGTATGTAGTTGTCTGGACCCCGAAACGATGCTGAACGATCGACTTTCACGTCCCATGGATATTTTTATTTCGATTCGACCGATCGAGAACGTAGCTTCGCCGTTACCATCTATCTCTATTCGTCGAAAATCGTTACGAGCGATGGTTTTTTTTTCGACCATCTTTGTGTGCGTCGTTGACAAGCAAGTTCTTCTGACCATGTATTGGTAAATGCGAAAGATAAAAAGAGAGAGAGAGAGAGGGAGAGAGAGAGCGAGAGGGAGAAGGAAAAGAAACACTTTGAAAATTTTTTTTTTATATCTCGTAATATACGCGTGTTGAAAAAAATAATTCTCGATATGTAGGAATATGATAATAATTGATTGAAAGGAATATGATTTAATTCCAAATTGTGCACATCGCAAAATAATTTCAAGTTGTGCACTTGGGTGTATGTTATATCTCAAGCATTTTGAACAGCTATCATTCCTACAGAATGAATAATTTTGTTTCCAAAAAATACTATATATTCTTTCAAGTCTCGGACAATAATAATCAGTAAATATGAAAGTGCATTTTCAATTCTGTCGTTATAATAAAAATTCATGAATCATGCAGTATGCAAATTATTTTAATCGAGTTCAAAGTTGATCAGAAATGTCCTACAACTCACAGGCATAATTAAAAGGTAATACAATTTAAGATTGTTAATTTAATTATGGAAAATAATCGGATGATACGCTTTTATCATTTTTTTTTTTTTTTTCTTTAAGCTTAGAATCTTTAACTCTTCGTAGTTGTACGTAGTTGTTCTGATTCTTTACTCTTTGATATCTTTTTATTGACTGTCTTTCTTTCAATCTCGAACAATGCCATGCACCATCTCGTCCATTCCACACACCGTTGTACCATGTACCGACTTTATTGGATCTTATAACACGTTCTTTGAAAAATTTCTCATATATTCATTCACATGAACTATACCTTTATTCAAGAGTTCTTTTTTTTTCATTTTTTCTTTTTTTTTTTTTTTTGTTCTAGGAAGAAGAAAGAAAGAAGCAACCTATCATTTTATTTCTACATTATTTTCTACGTCCTATGGTTGTAAAATATTACATTAATCGTAAATTCGATCGACATCGTATTTTCTTATATTTTATATTTTTATTATTATATATTATTATATATCTTATTTTTATTTTTATCATTATACTTTTATTATAATATTTTATATATTTCTTATATCTTATATTTTATTAATGAATTATTTTATCATACAATTCTTTTTCTTTTCTTTTTTCTTTTTAAGTAAATTGTGATTAGATCTCTCTTTCTCTCTCTCTCTCTCTCTCCTTCTTCATACGCCAAATCAACATACAAAATCGACTAGATAAATCGAGAATATCTTTTGCTATGAATAATTCTTCATATCTTTTTTCATTTCTTTTTCTTTCCTTTTCTCGTCTAATTGAAATAATTCGTCTAGACAGGAAAGAAAAAGTCGTATTCGTTTGATAATCAGGTAGTACCGCTAATTACTTCCACTTGATATTTCTTATGAACGGATCTACCATTTGGATAGGCCAGACTCATCATTTAAGATTTCTTCTCGAATTCTAACCTTTCATTTGAATCCAAAACCTTCCATCTCTCTCTCTCTCTCTCTCTCTCTCTCTCTCTCATTCGTTTCATGGTAAAGCAAAGATAATGGTTAAAACCTGAACTTCGAAAGGGAGGATAATAAATTAAAGATATTCTTACTCTTTCGATTTATTTTATTACCTTCTTTTTACCTCTTATCTTTGTTATTACCAAGGCATACTAATAAACTGTTCGTAGGAATATCGTCGTTAATAAGGGTTTTTTCTTATAGGAAAATCGGTACCTCGCATTTCGCGAAAGATTCTACGGCTCGTTACGACGCATCTGCCAGTTTTTCTTTCTCTTTTTCCTTTCTCTCTTTTTCCCTGTCTCTATAGAAACCAAACAGTAGAGAAACGAACTGTGAAAGTCTGGAATCAGCCGGTGTAAGAACCGAAAGAAAGAGAAAGAGAGAGAGAGAGAGAGAGAGAGAGAGAGAGAGAGAGAGAGGAAGTGAGATAAATAGGGAGAGAGAAGGAATGAGGGAGGACACGGCTGGAGTCGAGCTTTCAAGCTGGTTCAGGGTGCTCGTGCATCATAGGTTTATAGTTCCACGATGGCATTTATAAGGTTTGCTCGACTTGGCAAGTAAGTTCTACCGCCAAACTCATCCCCAAGCTTCCGGGGTCCGTTATGCTGCCGAACTACTGCCGTGGAGCGCGTCATTACCGTCGTGATATATACAATTCGGGGTGGGCCGTTAATGCGTCTTCTTAAGGGTTCCTTATTGAAAAATATTGCGTTGATTCTGCATTAAAGCGCCAGTCTACCGTTCTTCTTTTATTTTTACTTATTTCTCATCGCTATTTTATTTCGGACACTGGATCTCTATTTTCTAATATTTTTCAGTGCAAACCCGATCACATAAAAAAAAAAAATATATATATATATATATATAATACTTTTTTTTATAATACTTTTTAAATCAATAAGAATTTTATGAATGATAATATGAAAGTAAATCTTTCAGCTTTTAAGCTTACATGATTTTCTTTGATAATATATTTATAACAAAGATAATCATTTTTTTGTCTTATAAGAAAATCGAGACTGGCATTTCGCGAAAGAGTCTACGGCTCGTTACATTTTGATCTTGTAACATTAAAGCTCAATCACGAAAAATTCGTACGTAAATCTAATTGATTCTCGATGAATAATCTCTCTCTTCGTTACTTGTTTCGTCTGTGGACGAATCATTCGGATTACTCGTCGTTTTACAGTCCCTAAAGATTTATCAAAACGTATGCTCTAATGATATATCTAAGAATTTTATAACATAATCGAAGCCATTAGTTGAATATTATTTGAAAAAGAGTAGAGGAAATCTTAATAAGGAATGCTAAATTGTCTTACTGATTAGTCATTATACTTTTTACTCTTTTGGAATTAAATGAAAAAGGAAGGAAAAAAAAAAGCGTGGGTGTTCATCGTTCTCATTTTTATAGTTTACTGAATGAGCTACCTATCTCTTTCTATCTTACTTTTTGTCTTTTTCTCTTCTTCTCATCCCTTTTACTTCTTCCAATGTGTTTCTTTTTCCCTTGTCTCTCGGCCATAAATTAGGGGAGGCACGCTCTCCAAACCTTCGTTTATACGAGGGGGAGAGTGAGCCCACGGGGAAAACACGACGATTTTCCCCAGCACGTCTATACCGGCGTAAAGCTGTCCCGGCGTCGAAGAGCTCAGCGTAGCTTCGATGGACCCAGGACGACCATCCAGCCGCCAGGAGGACAACGCCTCTGTAAATCACCGTAAAAAAACGTTACGAAGCCTTGCATCAATGTATCTGTATATCCATGAGACTAAAACACAAATGCATAGCAGGTAACATAACGGTAGATACCGTTTCTACTGTCGTACCTTCACCTTCCTTCCGATTTTATAAAGCGACGCGAAAACGTACGCTTACGCAGATTCCCAACGAGACACTAAATTTATTCTCCTTCACCTTATTCTCCACGAAAAATTCTCTTCCAACGATTTTCTCTACTTTCATTCCTACCCTTTAGTTGCTTCTTCCTTTCTCTTCCTTTTTCTTTTCTCTCTCTCTCTCTCTCTCTCTCTCTCTCTCTCTCTCTTTTTTTCTCTATCGTAATACTTGAATTTTTTGTTACCAATAAAAATCACGAAGTAAATTCCTGTATTTAGTAATATATATTTTACGATACTAATCGAGGATTAATTAATTGCATAAGAATATTTATTGTCTGTTCTAATACGTTCGTCAAAAGTATCTCTGGTTTCTAATCAATCTCGAATAATCAAGAGCTCGTAACAAACCATTGGTCCTTTCTATATAACTCTTTTGCCTCCGGATCTATTTTGGAGAATATTTTACCAAAGGCAATTAAGCAAAGTTATAATTAAGCGGAAAGATGATTATACTGAAAATGGGAAATGATGGTAACAGCAAAGTGCTCTAAAACGAAGGAAAAGACGGCTTGTTGAGTTGGATATAAACTTAACTTGACGTTTGTTGGACGTGCTCATCGGACATTCTAAGGGTTTGTTTGTCCTGCAGATTATAACGGATTGTAAGCAACCAAATGGTCGACTTTCTGTCATTACAGTGTATTATTTCTAAGTTTGATAAGAACTTAATAAAGAAATAATCGAAATAGAAATAATATATCTAAAACTATATATACTTAACGAATATCAAATATTATGCTAATTACTTCGTATTCTTTTACGATTTCTCGATTAAAATGATTGAACCAAATAACTCAAGAAAAGTAGAAGGAACATTCGATAAAATGTTTTCTTATCTTTAACCTTTACTCATTCATCCCTACAAACGAAGGACCATATGTTTCGAGTTTCGATAATCTTATCGCTCGAATGTTGATTACGATGCGATCCTTTATCGATGCCAGTAGAATATTTTCAATCGCTTTCTTCTTCGCCATCGGGTTAAATAATGTGACCGATATCGAGAGTCGAATATTCGATTCTAACTTCGGAGGGTCCACAAATTGCTTGTGTAACTTACTGCCGTTCGATTCTAGTAAAGTTATTGATATTGCTATCGATAGTCATCGACATTTGTAAATATCAAGATCCCCATAGATAGAAGCCTTCGAATTTATTTCAGAAAATGGGATATAGACAAACTTTCTTCTTTTGATCCCTTCTTTTTTCTTATATACCTATATTGTATATTATATAAATATATATATATATATATATATATATATATACATATATATAAAATATCAAGATCATGAGCGCAATGTAGATCCCTCGAAAGTCTATTTTAAATTCCTACAAATATACTCTGGACGAATATATAAAGATAACTATTACGTATTACGGAAGAATAGATAAACGAGACAGCGTTATTATTGTGAAATTACTAATCATTCTAAATAGCAATTTCTCTATTAGACTGTATAATAACAAGGTAGATCTGGTACAATTTCGAAAGTTTCAGTACAACAGATGGCTACCTAAAATTGGACTGCCATTGGAGCCCTCCACGTAATGCTTTTGTTACACACGTGAGTAAAGAGGTGTCAGTGATGTGTGGAAAGAGCGGAAGAGAGTGTTAAGGGCAGAAACATTGGGTAGAGAAAGAGTAGAGAAGGAGGAGAAACAAGAAAGAGAGACAGAGAGACAGAGAAAGAGAGAGAGAGAGAAAGAGAATAGAGGCAAGCCACGTGTGCTCTTTTCGATAGCAACGAAAGAGCTTGTGCAGTAGTGCAGTACCGTACCTAGCCAGTCATAGCACCCCTGGTCATATAACTGACATTTCATGAATTGGAAATGTAATTTTACCGGGCCGGTCTTGCGGCTTGCGGCTTGGTGGTAACTGTTTGCATGATACCCGAGGCGCGAAAGTAAACGAGCGCATAATTTCACCACGCGTACATGTCCGCGAGGTCCTCCGGACTCTCGACTCCTGAGCAACAAATAGGATATTTCTGGCTTTCTCGAGTTCAACGATGGAGGATAGAGAAGAAAGAGAGAGAGGGAGGATCATGTAATCGCAGCTACCGCGTAACCGCGACGGCGGCTTCTGTATACATGCGCTTTACAAAAGAGACCAGCTAACCACAACATCTCTACGGACGATCTTCTCTCGCTTTCGCCACTGCTTAGCTTTAAATCATTGGTTTACTCTTTGTAACCATTAATGAGCCTTACTTGTGATTTGTCATTTAAAATGTTCTCTCTCATTAGTATTGAAATAATTAAGACCTTCCCTATGACAAAAGGAGAATTTATACGGAGTTATTA